GTGGTGACATTACTTTCCATTTTGAAGGAAAAGTTGTTCGGAAGGAATTCGTGAAATAGTCGCAGCGGAAACCGAAGGAGGATTACAGCGTAGTGAAGGTTGTTGAATTGTGCAAAGAAGTGCTAACTCATCGTCATGCAACTCCGATAAAGCTGTCGTCTGTACTGCCATGACATACATTATCAGATCATGAATCCGTGCTTTGTGAAACAGAGCAAAAAATATATTTAATAAAGAGAAAAGGTTAGATAGTATAGTAGTACTAATTCACATATTCTTTCAGTTCGACTTTTCCTTCAAAATAAAAAGTCATGTCACAATATTCTTAGATAGCTTGTCAAATAATTTTTCGTGTAGTGATATCCATACGAGACAATTAGTAGTATTTTCACCGAAAAGCCTATTATCCATCAAAGTTTCATCTGAAGGCAAGACTTACCACCTTCAAATATCAACTTTTGAAGTGAATAATTTTCGAGTCTCTTGACAATTCATGAATAAGAACTTAACAGTCGATCCCACCAGAAGACAACGACGGATTTCTCTTGACCAGTTGTTGTCTGGCTCTTCTGGGACATTTTTGTTGACGCTGTCTCAAAGGCAATCTCATTTGTCAACAATAATGTTTCACCTAAGCAAATCAACAGCTGGCCAGAAGGAAATAACCATCGTCTTCTGGAGGGACCTTCGAATCTCTTCAAACATTTTCACTCCAAGTGGAAGCAAACTTAACAATAGTCAACCAAGAATTGCTCGAAATCCAAATTTTCTGCGAATATAATAAGAATTGGTCCAGTCTATGACGCTTAAAGGAAGTTAAGAAATTACTCATTGTGGGAAGACGCAACTATCGGACCATAAATCGGTTTAAGCGACGTAGACTGACCAAGTTGGCATTCGCATTCACATACCCCTTCATGATTATTATTTCCACTATACTACCGCTTTTTTGCAACTCACACATGCACATTACTAATCATGTGTTTACGTGAATTCATCTACAGGCCTCGGACTCCTTCCTGCGAAATCGGGTGCTTCAAATGCCCGAGGCCCTGGTCCAAGGTACCCACAATACCGAAGCCGGGCACAGACGACGCCTTATGGAGTACCGACTGGCTGAGGCCGGTGGAGAGGTCAATCTTAGGTTGCTGGAGGAGACCGGTGTGGGTGGCTTTGCCCATGCTGAGGGTTCACTCCGACAGGACAGCAGCTCGGCAGGGTCCAAGGCCTCCTCGAGTTGTGGAAACATGGTATCAGGTGAGAGTTCCCGCCTCTCATAAAGTAAAGCAAGAGAAAGAGAGAGGAGGAGGAAAGGCATTGTGATAGGTTGGTAGGATTCATAACGAGACCAAGCCCCTGATGTATAAAACGAGTCTGGATAGGTCCAATTCTTAAAGCATCATAACCTTAGACATAGAGCAATACCAAAAACACAAACTAATTGCTTTACATATGAGATGTATTCATACAATTTCATTTATAGTGATAAAGGCCTTGTAGCTGAATTTGCCCACAACGCTATGAGTAGACCTTATATTTCTATTGAATTTCACATAGTCCTGCTTTGCCAAAGTGAAATAGGGTTTATGCATCTCATATATATGATCTACTTGTAGTTTCGAAAACCTGCTTATAGAGCACAACAGGACGGAGTATTATATTCTTTTGATCTGCCTAGAAAGTGGCAACATACAGTCATTAAAGTTGTAAGTTAACTTAATATTTGTCATCGAAATCGGGTGTTATCATATTCAAAGTTGATAGCATTTTCGAATTGTCCTCGAAGGTGAAAACGGATCAAGTTGATGCTAGGAAGTGCTATTTGTCATGCGATGCTGTAGATAATGATACATGAAGTATTCAAGAAGTTTTAAAGAGCAAACACACTTTGTTTTATGAATTTTAGTTTGAGAGGATTGCAAAAGTACTCTTGGATTTTTCAATGACCCCAATTTTGACCTCTCACAAGTCTAACTATCAACTCGAAGAGATGCAAATTTAGCACACCACCTTGACTACCGAAAGCTGTCAGACCTAGCATCACCTGTAATCACCTCGGATTACTCGAGTCCGTTGTCAAGGTCTACTGATGCCACGTTTATAGTAGTATCCCGGAAAAAAATGGTAAATTTATATTTCCATTGAAACTTGGAATTGGCGGAGAGTACCAATATGACTTAAAGCCATCTCTTCTCTGTGGTTCAATGCGAGAGAGCGGCTGAGAGCAACTTTTTGAAGCCAAATTGTGAGGCCTACTCATCTGATTGTGGCAAAATTCAACTATCATCTCTTCGTTGTTGGGATTACTTCCATTTCGAGTAGAAGTGTTGGGTGAAGAGATTCGAAGGTCGGTTCCACCAG